ATTTTATCATAAACTCTCTGTATGAGGTCATAATTCTTCCTTGTGATAATTATGAACATAGTTCAAATTTTTATTTGTTTATTTTTTGAGACAGAGTCTTCCTCTGTCACCCAGGCTAGAGTGCCATGGCATCAGCCTAGCTCACAACAACCTCAAACTCCTGGGCTCAAGTGATCCTCTTGCCTCAGCCTCCCAAGTAGCTGGGACTTCAGGTATGTGCCACCACATGCAGCTAATTTTTCTATTTTTAGTAGAGACGGGATCTCACTCTTGCTCAGGCTGGTCTCAAACTCTTGACCTCAAGTGATCCTCCTGCCTTGGCTCCCAGAGTGTTAGGATTACAGGCGTGAGCCACCGAACCCAGCCTCAAATTTTTAAAAATAGAGAAAAAGGGCTGGGCACAGCGGCTCATGCCTGGCCTCCCAAAGCACTGGGATTCCAAGGCAGGACAATTGCTTGAGGCTAAGAGTTTGAGACCAGCCTAGGCAACACAGCAAGAACCCACCTCTAAAAAAAAATTAAAACATTAGCCAGGCATGGTGGCACATGCCTGTATTCCTAGCTACTCAGGAGGCTGAAGTGGGAGGATCGCTTGAGCCCAGGAATTCAAGGTTACAATGAGCTATGATTGCACCACTGCACTCCAGCCTTGGTGACAGAGTAAGACCTGGTCTCCAAAAAGGTAAATAAATAAATAAAAATAGAGAAGAACATAGTTTCAAAAGTATTTTTAAGGCAAGGTGCAGTGGCTCACACCTATAATCTTAGCACTTTGGGAAGTGGAGGCAGGAAGATGGCCTGAGGCCAGGAGTTTGAGACCAACCTGGGCAACAAATGAGACCTGTCTCGTAAAAAATTTTTAAAATCAGCTGGGTATGGAAGCTAAGGCAGGAGGATTGCTTGAGCCCAGGAGTTCAAGGTTATAATTAGCTATGATTGCACCACTGCACTCTAGCCTGGACAACAGAGTAAGACCCTGTCTCAAAGAAAAAAAAAGTCTTTTCAGTATAGCAAATAATCCACTTATACAAAATACCTGAATCTCATAAGTGATGGTCTCTGAAATACAGCCACAGAGTAGTATCATATCTCACAAGAGTAAACAAACTGCCCTCATTTGATTTAAAAAAGGTATAGTCAATCCTAAATTACACAGAGGTTAAGAAAAAGAACAGAGAAATAAACCGATGGAGGGAGTAGAAAATGAGGGAAGGAAGAGAGATGGGAGAAGCAAAAGAGAGCAAAAGGAGGAGAGTGGAAAAGTGGGGTGGGGAGAGAGGAGGGAAGAGATTCGAAGAAGGGGGGGAAGGTGGAGAGGCTGTAAAAAAGGAATAGAATGGACAGAGGGAGAGTGGGGAGGAAAGTAGAGAGGAGGAGGAAGATGGAAGAGAGGAGAAAGAGAATAGAGAGAGGAAAGAGTAATAGGTTCTCTCTGGTAAAGAAAGAACCTTTGAAGGTTTTCAGTAAGGGAGAACAGAACGAAATTTGTGCAGCAATGTCAAGAGTGGACTGAAAAACAGAGACAGAAGGAAAAGAGCATAGGGAGGAAGCTATTGCAATAATATTGGTGAAAGATATTGAGGGGCTGAGGGTCTAAATTGGGACGGGTAAACAGAAGTAGAACCACAGGTCTTAGTAACTGACTGAATACAATGTGTGAAGGAAGATGAAGAACTAAAATGACTGGTCTGGGGTCTGAATGACTGGGAGAAAGACAATACTTTTATGTCTTTCATATGACCTCAGGGGAGGAAACAGTGTATTTCTACTCTACTGTCAATAAGCGCACTAAATAAATCTACTACTTACCACAATCCTCTGTGCAATGACCAATAGTAAGTATGATGCTGAATTTTTCTCCTGAATCCAGACTTTCATGAAGCAGTAATGCCAGAAGTTTCGAAACAATGTGGTACTTGGATAGTACTATCCCAAAAGTAGCTATTAGCATAAAATGGAAAAAAAAATACTAAGTACAAATTTACAACTTACAAATACACACATGCTATATATTTTTCAGAGCTTATCCAGGGAAAAAGATATTATATGTCTATATAACATCTAATATATACATCATAACATCTAATAT